CCTGTGTTATGAAGAGGTCAACATCTGGGAAGAAGCATGGTATAAAACGGACAGCAGTTGGACGGTCTAAACTTCGCAGATGATCTGGATCTTCTATCGCACACGCAAGAACAAATACAGGAGACGACCAGTGTAGCAGCAGCCCCAGCAACAGTAGGTCTCAATAAACACAAAGGGAAAATCAAGACTCCCCGATACAACACAGCATGCAACAATCGAATCACGCTGGACGTAGAAGATTTGGAAGATGTAAAAACCTCTACATATCTAGGGAGCATCATTGATGAAAATGGTAGATCTGATGCAGATGTGAAGGCGCTGATAGGCAAAGCAAGAGCAGTATATGTACAACTGAAGGACATCTGGAACTCAAAACAGCTGCCCACAAGCCAACACCAACGTCAGAATTTTCAATACAAATGTCAAAACAGTTCTACTATATGTGGCGTAAACTTGGAGAACTACGAAAGTCATCATCTAGAAAATACAAGATTTTGTTAAAAGTTATCGACGCAAAATACTTCGAATCTGTTGATCAGACACTATCAGCATCAACCTACTTTGGGAGAGAACAAACCAGACCCCAGAGGAGGAAGAAATCAGAAAGAAGTGCTGGAATTGAACAGGACACACATTGAGGGAAGCACTCAACTGCATCACAAGGCGAGCGATCACTTGGACTCCCCAATGCCAAAAGAGAAAATGATGACCAAAGAACACACTACTCCGAGAAACGGAGACAGACATGAGAGGAATGAACAAAAACTGAATAAGACTAGGAAGGAAGACCCAGGACAGAATAAGTTGGAGAATGCTGATCGGCAGTCTATGCTCGATGTCGGGCAACAGGCGTACGCAATTAAGTAAGAAAGAAAAGTATTAAAACAGGCGTTTTAAATAGAACATACTTCAGTGTGTCCTTAGAAGCTATGAGATTAGTAATATATTGATACGTGATAAAAACGTAGACACAAGGCAAGCACTAAAACTGTCAGGAAGCAACAAGAAATACGGGTCGATAACTTCACTGTTTTTATTAGAGCATCACATCCGCATTTTGTCAACTAGTCACAATACCGCGCATTTGACGGGGCTGAATTATTAACCAGTCAAGAATGGAAACTAGAGAACATATCACGTCACAAAATAGAAACAGGTATGAAAAGAATGAGTGACGACTGGAAATACGTAGGAAGGATTTTCCAGGTTTGGGTTAAATGGATAGCCCTGGTGGGCGGCCTGTGCTCCTCCACAGAAGTAACAGGCGTAAGTAAGAATGGACACTGTCTAAAGCATCATCAGAGAAATGACGTAAATATTCAGCCGGTAAGTTCTCTGGAAAATAAACTCAGTTTCAAAGTCGGTCTCTAAGTTCGACTTCCGTCTGAATTCCAGAGTTAGAATATGCTTTAAAAAAATACGTATAGAACATGATTCAAGGAGCAAGAACATAGAGTACATCCTGTTATGATTGAACATGTTGTGCTCACCATCAACAGCACGGATAACTAAGATGACTAGATGTTAAATGATTTATTAATCAAATGAAATAGGACTCGGTGGGAAAACTTGTCCGATAGGCTTCATTAGTTTGTTAAAACAGTAAAGAGATGTTGAAATATTTACAAAGCAAACCACCTAAGGGAAACCAATGTACTGAACACAGTTCTGGATTTCGTCATTTGAAAAGTCAAGCATTTACACCAATATACGATTCCACAAAAGGAAACCGATTATCTCACTTCAGATTTAGGGCTAATATTTTGTCTAGAAGATGGTCATGAGTGAAAACTGTCCTGGAATTGTCCACTACGACCTCTGCATTGTCCTGGTCTTCCTCCATTGACTGGGACCCACACCATACTGTAATTGCGTTGAGGAATCACTGGTGCGTCCTTATTCTGTAATTTATGCACAAGAACAGTCTCTTTGGCTGCCTGTTCTCAGATTGTGCCAACCTATTTCCACATTTTTACTGGACTACCTGGGTTGTACTTCTACAATTATTTCTGACCGACATGAAACGTTTCATCGTATTTGCTGTGCCAAGGCTGATGACAGCGCTGCAAAACCTTTTTTTCATCTTAATGATCGTCGGACTTCATGGTTCATCTATAAATGAGAGTGATTCTTCTCTAGGACTGTCAGGATGCAAATAATTGAGTTACATGACTGCAATGATGAGATCACGTCTCTCCTACCGATGAGGTCATGTTATTTAATTTTTAAATCTGCCTGACTGCAAAGGTCTATTCTCATATCACCAGTTTCTGATGCATGGATTATTAAATCCCTTGAGAGCAACCTTTGTTTTAACCATCTAATTCGGAAGTTCCAGAAGTCGGTATATAAATTCGTCAGCTGTTCGCATAGTCTTCATTACTGTATTCGAAAATATTTGGAAAATGCAAATATTCGTAAAGACATTGACAGGAAAGACGATTACGTTGGAGGTTGAGCCTAGTGACACTATTGAGAATGTGAAAGCTAAAATTCAAGACAAAGAAGGTATTCCTCCTGACCAACAACGTTTGATATTCGCTGGTAAGCAGTTGGAAGATGGACGTACTCTGTCTGACTACAACATCCAGAAAGAGTCGACTCTGCATCTTGTCCTTCGTCTGCGTGGTGGAATGCAAATCTTTGTGAAGACGTTGACTGGTAAGACGATCACGTTGGAGGTTGAGCCTAGTGACACTATTGAGAATGTGAAAGCTAAAATTCAAGACAAAGAAGGTATTCCTCCTGACCAACAACGTTTGATATTCGCTGGTAAGCAGTTGGAAGATGGACGTACTCTGTCTGACTACAACATCCAGAAGGAGTCGACTCTGCATCTTGTCCTTCGTCTGCGTGGTGGAATGCAAATCTTTGTGAAGACGTTGACTGGTAAGACGATCACGTTGGAGGTTGAGCCTAGTGACACTATTGAGAATGTGAAAGCTAAAATTCAAGACAAAGAAGGTATTCCTCCTGACCAACAACGTTTGATATTCGCTGGTAAGCAGTTGGAAGATGGACGTACTCTGTCTGACTACAACATCCAGAAAGAGTCGACTCTGCATCTTGTCCTTCGTCTGCGTGGTGGAATGCAAATCTTTGTGAAGACGTTGACTGGTAAGACGATCACGTTGGAGGTTGAGCCTAGTGACACTATTGAGAATGTGAAAGCTAAAATTCAAGACAAAGAAGGTATTCCTCCTGACCAACAACGTTTGATATTCGCTGGTAAGCAGTTGGAAGATGGACGTACTCTGTCTGACTACAACATCCAGAAGGAGTCGACTCTGCATCTTGTCCTTCGTCTGCGTGGTGGAATGCAAATCTTTGTGAAGACGTTGACTGGTAAGACGATCACGTTGGAGGTTGAGCCTAGTGACACTATTGAGAATGTGAAAGCTAAAATTCAAGACAAAGAAGGTATTCCTCCTGACCAACAACGTTTGATATTCGCTGGTAAGCAGTTGGAAGATGGACGTACTCTGTCTGACTACAACATCCAGAAAGAGTCGACTCTGCATCTTGTCCTTCGTCTGCGTGGTGGAATGCAAATCTTTGTGAAGACGTTGACTGGTAAGACGATCACGTTGGAGGTTGAGCCTAGTGACACTATTGAGAATGTGAAAGCTAAAATTCAAGACAAAGAAGGTATTCCTCCTGACCAACAACGTTTGATATTCGCTGGTAAGCAGTTGGAAGATGGACGTACTCTGTCTGACTACAACATCCAGAAAGAGTCGACTCTGCATCTTGTCCTTCGTCTGCGTGGTGGAATGCAAATCTTTGTGAAGACGTTGACTGGTAAGACGATCACGTTGGAGGTTGAGCCTAGTGACACTATTGAGAATGTGAAAGCTAAAATTCAAGACAAAGAAGGTATTCCTCCTGACCAACAACGTTTGATATTCGCTGGTAAGCAGTTGGAAGATGGACGTACTCTGTCTGACTACAACATCCAGAAGGAGTCGACTCTGCATCTTGTCCTTCGTCTGCGTGGTGGAATGCAAATCTTTGTGAAGACGTTGACTGGTAAGACGATCACGTTGGAGGTTGAGCCTAGTGACACTATTGAGAATGTGAAAGCTAAAATTCAAGACAAAGAAGGTATTCCTCCTGACCAACAACGTTTGATATTCGCTGGTAAGCAGTTGGAAGATGGACGTACTCTGTCTGACTACAACATCCAGAAAGAGTCGACTCTGCATCTTGTCCTTCGTCTGCGTGGTGGAATGCAAATCTTTGTGAAGACGTTGACTGGTAAGACGATCACGTTGGAGGTTGAGCCTAGTGACACTATTGAGAATGTGAAAGCTAAAATTCAAGACAAAGAAGGTATTCCTCCTGACCAACAACGTTTGATATTCGCTGGTAAGCAGTTGGAAGATGGACGTACTCTGTCTGACTACAACATCCAGAAAGAGTCGACTCTGCATCTTGTCCTTCGTCTGCGTGGTGGAATGCAAATCTTTGTGAAGACGTTGACTGGTAAGACGATCACGTTGGAGGTTGAGCCTAGTGACACTATTGAGAATGTGAAAGCTAAAATTCAAGACAAAGAAGGTATTCCTCCTGACCAACAACGTTTGATATTCGCTGGTAAGCAGTTGGAAGATGGACGTACTCTGTCTGACTACAACATCCAGAAGGAGTCGACTCTGCATCTTGTCCTTCGTCTGCGTGGTGGAATGCAAATCTTTGTGAAGACGTTGACTGGTAAGACGATCACGTTGGAGGTTGAGCCTAGTGACACTATTGAGAATGTGAAAGCTAAAATTCAAGACAAAGAAGGTATTCCTCCTGACCAACAACGTTTGATATTCGCTGGTAAGCAGTTGGAAGATGGACGTACTCTGTCTGACTACAACATCCAGAAAGAGTCGACTCTGCATCTTGTCCTTCGTCTGCGTGGTGGAATGCAAATCTTTGTGAAGACGTTGACTGGTAAGACGATCACGTTGGAGGTTGAGCCTAGTGACACTATTGAGAATGTGAAAGCTAAAATTCAAGACAAAGAAGGTATTCCTCCTGACCAACAACGTTTGATATTCGCTGGTAAGCAGTTGGAAGATGGACGTACTCTGTCTGACTACAACATCCAGAAAGAGTCGACTCTGCATCTTGTCCTTCGTCTGCGTGGTGGAATGCAAATCTTTGTGAAGACGTTGACTGGTAAGACGATCACGTTGGAGGTTGAGCCTAGTGACACTATTGAGAATGTGAAAGCTAAAATTCAAGACAAAGAAGGTATTCCTCCTGACCAACAACGTTTGATATTCGCTGGTAAGCAGTTGGAAGATGGACGTACTCTGTCTGACTACAACATCCAGAAAGAGTCGACTCTGCATCTTGTCCTTCGTCTGCGTGGTGGAATGCAAATCTTTGTGAAGACGTTGACTGGTAAGACGATCACGTTGGAGGTTGAGCCTAGTGACACTATTGAGAATGTGAAAGCTAAAATTCAAGACAAAGAAGGTATTCCTCCTGACCAACAACGTTTGATATTCGCTGGTAAGCAGTTGGAAGATGGACGTACTCTGTCTGACTACAACATCCAGAAGGAGTCGACTCTGCATCTTGTCCTTCGTCTGCGTGGTGGAATGCAAATCTTTGTGAAGACGTTGACTGGTAAGACGATCACGTTGGAGGTTGAGCCTAGTGACACTATTGAGAATGTGAAAGCTAAAATTCAAGACAAAGAAGGTATTCCTCCTGACCAACAACGTTTGATATTCGCTGGTAAGCAGTTGGAAGATGGACGTACTCTGTCTGACTACAACATCCAGAAAGAGTCGACTCTGCATCTTGTCCTTCGTCTGCGTGGTGGAATGCAAATCTTTGTGAAGACGTTGACTGGTAAGACGATCACGTTGGAGGTTGAGCCTAGTGACACTATTGAGAATGTGAAAGCTAAAATTCAAGACAAAGAAGGTATTCCTCCTGACCAACAACGTTTGATATTCGCTGGTAAGCAGTTGGAAGATGGACGTACTCTGTCTGACTACAACATCCAGAAAGAGTCGACTCTGCATCTTGTCCTTCGTCTGCGTGGTGGAATGCAAATCTTTGTGAAGACGTTGACTGGTAAGACGATCACGTTGGAGGTTGAGCCTAGTGACACTATTGAGAATGTGAAAGCTAAAATTCAAGACAAAGAAGGTATTCCTCCTGACCAACAACGTTTGATATTCGCTGGTAAGCAGTTGGAAGATGGACGTACTCTGTCTGACTACAACATCCAGAAAGAGTCGACTCTGCATCTTGTCCTTCGTCTGCGTGGTGGAATGCAAATCTTTGTGAAGACGTTGACTGGTAAGACGATCACGTTGGAGGTTGAGCCTAGTGACACTATTGAGAATGTGAAAGCTAAAATTCAAGACAAAGAAGGTATTCCTCCTGACCAACAACGTTTGATATTCGCTGGTAAGCAGTTGGAAGATGGACGTACTCTGTCTGACTACAACATCCAGAAGGAGTCGACTCTGCATCTTGTCCTTCGTCTGCGTGGTGGAATGCAAATCTTTGTGAAGACGTTGACTGGTAAGACGATCACGTTGGAGGTTGAGCCTAGTGACACTATTGAGAATGTGAAAGCTAAAATTCAAGACAAAGAAGGTATTCCTCCTGACCAACAACGTTTGATATTCGCTGGTAAGCAGTTGGAAGATGGACGTACTCTGTCTGACTACAACATCCAGAAGGAGTCGACTCTGCATCTTGTCCTTCGTCTGCGTGGTGGAATGCAAATCTTTGTGAAGACGTTGACTGGTAAGACGATCACGTTGGAGGTTGAGCCTAGTGACACTATTGAGAATGTGAAAGCTAAAATTCAAGACAAAGAAGGTATTCCTCCTGACCAACAACGTTTGATATTCGCTGGTAAGCAGTTGGAAGATGGACGTACTCTGTCTGACTACAACATCCAGAAAGAGTCGACTCTGCATCTTGTCCTTCGTCTGCGTGGTGGAATGCAAATCTTTGTGAAGACGTTGACTGGTAAGACGATCACGTTGGAGGTTGAGCCTAGTGACACTATTGAGAATGTGAAAGCTAAAATTCAAGACAAAGAAGGTATTCCTCCTGACCAACAACGTTTGATATTCGCTGGTAAGCAGTTGGAAGATGGACGTACTCTGTCTGACTACAACATCCAGAAAGAGTCAACCTTACATCTTGTTCTGCGCCTACGTGGAGGCATGTGATTTCTGTTAAAGTAAAATTAAAAAATAAATTTTAGTTTGATTTTATTTCTAAACGTAGTTCTGTTTTCGCGAGCTGCGAATGATGTTGGTCTGTTGTGTCGTACTAGGTAGTGCGTTTTAACAGTGTGATACGGTCGATGGATATTCGAGCTTGTACAGATTTTAGCTAAGTCATTCATGGTTTAATCATGCTGTAGGACGAGTTGTTTGGACACAATGTGTTTGATGACATAGGCATTAGGAGTTGTATGGTATTGAGTAAGGATACGCGTTTTGAAATTTGTAAAAAAACTAATCGCAAATAAAGTGATTGTCATATTACAACCGATTTTGTGGCATCACATAATCCTTTCCTGTAGATATCGACCGCATATCAGACTTGAGTTTGTATGTCCAGCCCGTTCTCGGCGTCTTCTTAGTTCCCGTTTCAGTTGGATGCTGGTTTGTTCTCTCACGCGGTAGGCTGTTGCTGATGGTATCCGGCCAACGGACAATGAGTATCTTGTGTAGAATTTATTTATTTATTTGAACACAAACATTGGTACAAGAGAGCGCCAATATATATGCGCCACACAAAACAATGAGAATTCGAAGAGAAAAAACAGGTAATAAGCGTAAAAAAAGAGAACAATAACGAAGAGATTGGTATAAGGTAGTGTGGTAGTAAGGAGGGGACGGAAATTACAGTCGGAAGAAATCTTTTAGTTAAGGGAGACAACCACTTTTTATGAAGAAAGTGAAAGAAGGTTAGAGCAGGATCGCCACTGGCTTCTATTCTGAGCCATATCTAATAACGTCTCTAGCCACAGTGTTGTACCATCTATCGGACCCCATCCAGGGGGTCGCGAAGGACCAACACAAGCCAGTCCTTTGCAGCTTTCTTTCATACCACGACACCATGTCATGCACTGACCACCTCTCCGCTTTTTCCAACCAGGCACAGAGTCGGCAAATAATGCACGATGTGGAATTCTCTGGGAAGACATTCGGAGAACATGTCCAAGCCAACGAAGTCGGTGTTTCAAGATGGTGACACCAATTGGATTATCGTATCTGCACTCGAACACACGATGCCGAACCTCTGCATTACTGACATGGTGTTGCCACTGGATGTCAGCAATCCTTCAGAGACAGCAATGATCGAACACAGAGAGTCGTCTATCATCTTCAACTCGGAGAGGCCAGGTTTCACAAGCATAGAGAAAAACTGCTCTCACCGACACGTTGTAAATCCGACCTTTTACAGCCAGACTAACATCACGAAGGCGCCAAAGGTGGCCCAGATTGGCATAAGCCGCTCTGGCTTTCACTATACGTGCATTGATCTCATCACTCACACCCCCACAAGCACTGATGCAGCTACCTAGATACACGAACTTCTCGACTACTTCCATCTGCTCACCATCCAGGATGAGTACAGGATTAGAATCCTGCCAGTCTTGTAGAGGTACTATGCGCTTCGAAGGTGCAAGCACATACCATACCTACGGACACTGATTGCCAACTGATTAAGTGCGGATTGCATGCCTTGGGCACTATCGCACAGTAAGACAATATCATCCGCATACTCAAGGTCGAGAAGTCTTTCTCCAGACGACGGATCCACACCACCATTACTTACATTCATCAGAGCTGTTTCCAGAATGTCATCGATGGCAAAATCGAAGAGGAATGGTGAGATTGGGCAACCCTGTCTAACCCCACTGCTCGAATGGAACAATGGAGAGAGGTGGTTGTATGCTCTCACTCTGCTTGAGGTGTTTGTATATAGGGCTTTTAGGATGTTAATAAACTTCTCAGGCACACCCTTCTTCAATAGACAATCCCAGAGAACAGTCCTGTCCAACGAATCGAAGGCAGCCCTGATGTCAAGAAACACTACGATTGTTGGCCTTTAAAATGTATGACGGTGTTCTAACATTTGGCGGAGGGTGGAGATATGATCAATACATCCTCGACCAGAACGAAACCCAGCCTGCTCCTCGCGAGTCAATCTTTCTCGGGTTTTGAGCGATCTACGAAGTTTGACGGAAGCCGATATTTTGAACGCAATCGGAAGTAAACTTATCCCCCGATAGTTGTTACAGAGACGATGTGGACCCTTTTAAAAGACTGATTCCATGATGCTGATACACTCTTTAGCCCCCAGATTTTTGTAAACGTCGTCAGTTTCTTAGCCAGAAAGTCACCACCATCTTTAAAAATGGTTGGAAGTTCCTTGCGGACTTCCGCCTCATTTGGTGGATCAGTCGTCACCGGCCATGGAAGGCAGGACAGTTCGACCGATGTTACCGGTGCAGCAAGCCAGTTGAACTGCCCTTTGAAAAATTCTGCCCATCGTCCAAGACGTCGATGGATGTTAGTGATTGGCATCCCATCATCCTCGCAGATTGTTTCGCTCACACCAGACTTCTTGCTGCCAGTGGCTCGGATGAGTTGGAAGAGCTTCCGGTAGTTACCAGATGCAGCTGCTGCTTCCAGCTCATTAGCACGCTTCGACCACCATGCTTCTCGGTCCTTACACAAGCTTTGCTCAATTTCACTACGTAACATCCTTCGTTTGTGGTCAAACTCACGGTCACCCGGAATAGACCGACGGGCTTCAATGAGTTGTAAGGAACCAGAAGAAACCCAGTGCTTATAAGCGGGACGTTTTGTGAACCCACAACTGACTGTAAAAAATTGCTTATAAATACCTGTACCCTTTTGATGGTGGTTGTAATAGTTCTCAGAGCTTAAGCTCTGTACAGTAGAACTGTCTTGACGTTCGTATTGAAGATTCTGACTTTGATATTGGTTTATAGACAGTTGTTTTGAGTTCCATATGTTTTTCAAATGTAGGAATGCTGTCCTTGCTTTGCCAATCTTCGCCTTTACATCTGCATCAGGTCCTCCTTGTTCACCGATGAGCCTTGTTTGACTCCGGTCCTTACTTGGAATGCGTCTGTCAGCTGTTCTACATGCACCACTTTGCACTGTAGTCCGTCGTATGAATTCCGTACGATGTTGACGATGTTCTTAGGTACTCATTCCATAGTGCCGAAGAAGTTTCCATAAAGTCCTACATACACTGCCGAATACTTTCTCGTAGTCAAGGAAGTTGATGTATAGTGACGAGTTCCATTTAATCGATTGCTAAACAATGATCCTGGTGTCGCGATTTGGTCTGTGCACGACCGATCCCTACTGAATGAGGTCTGTTGGTCTTGAGGCTGAATGTTTACTGAACTTTCCATCCAGTCCAATAACACTTTTTTGAAACTTTTCCTGGTACGGATAGTAGTGTAATGCCCCTGTAGCTCTCACACTTGCTCAAATCTTTTTGTGGTATCTTGATGAAATATCCTTCTTTCTAGTCTATCTGCAGCACTTGTTCTTCCCCCGAGATCTTCCTGAATAGAACATGGACTATGTTTGAAGTTATTTCTATATCTGACTACAGTAGCAGCAGACAACTGTTAAGACTTGTCAAGGACACAGGTATTATGTATCCAACTTTTAGCGAAACTATCTCGGGAAAAGATGGACGTATTATTCACTCTCAATCCAGGAGATTGGATCGATGGGCGGAACACTTTAGGGATCATTTCAACTGGCCTTCAGCCACACTTCGGTTTCCCTCAATCTACATTCGACCTGAATGGCATGTTGATGTAGGTCCTCCAACACTTAACGAAGTTGAAAAAGCTATAGGAAATCTGAAGCGAGGGAGAGCAGCAGTCCCTGACAGGTTTACCTCTGAGGTTTTTAAGGATGGCAGTCCAGTATTGGCAGTGAGATTGACTAAGGTCTTAGGTAGAATCTGGGAACTGGACGTAATCCCGTCTGACTGGTCTCAATAACTGATTGTGTCAGTCTATAAGAAGGCACAAAAGTCCTCTTGTGACAGTCACAGAGGGATCAGTCTGACTAATACAGTGTGTAAAATATTAGCTTTAATAATACTTCGACGCCTAACTAAAGCTCGTGCAGAGCAGACTAGAGAAAACCAGGCTAGTTTCCGACTTGGACGTGGCTGTATAGACCAGATAATCCCAATTCGTCAGGTCCTAGAACACAGACGAACATTCAGACGTTTCACAATAGTAGTATTTTTCGACTTAAGGAGACATTTGACTCTGTTACTCCGACAAGCGATGTTTTATGGTGTAGGAGTAGGATGGAAGAAAGCGAGGGGCGACCAAACCAAAACATGTCACAAATACGTGAATTGAACTAAATATCGGTTTTCAGTAATAAATATTATAGGTTGAAGGTTGATTTGGCTGTAGCAATTCTTACACTAAGTATTTCTGTTAAGCTTTAGTTTCTTCTCAAAAGGTCGATTGAGGAAACTGATATGACTTGTCCGGATAGAGGATCTTGTCGATGACCACTGAGAAAATAGAATCCTATCTTGAGTGTGTTTAATTGTGAGTCTTTTTATCTTTGTGTGAAGGCATCGAGGATGGTTAGTCTTCAAGCTAACAAGAAGGTAGACATGTCAGCACATAACTTATCGTTAAGGGTACGAAATTCCAATGTAACCTGGCCTCACATTTGATTATAAGGTAGAGAATTTAAGTGTTGTAATTTCTTATGATGCGAGAAACTGGTCAGGACATTTACTGTGTTATTACTTACTTGTCAGACATGCTCGAGAGTGTCAGTATCTTTAAAAAGACATGGATTAGCTGCGTGGATGCAGTATTTTAGGTGAAGTGTCAGGTGAATGGGGTATGAAATCTGAAATATATTTTCGTCAAGGAATCTAAAGATTTTGCGAAGTGACCATACTACGCAGCACCATTTAGCAGCTGTTGCATTTTAGTGTGAGATCTTTTTCAAGTCACGACTTAAAGTTTCTAGGTGTTCTTAATCTTGTGAGAGTGGCGTTCCATTTGTCATGTAATTCTGGTCGTTGTTGTTGTTGTTGTCGTTGTGGCTGATGTGCACTCGGTCACTTTCTGATATTGGTCTTCCAATCCAAACTTTGTGAGCACCTAGCTCATTCATTTGAACCAGCTTACTCTCGAGCTTAGTATTATCACTACCTATTATTCTCCAGACTTTT